GTCCCAACTACTTAGAAGGCTGAGGTGGGATGATCACTTGAGCCCAGGAGTTGAGGAGTTGAGGTTGCAGTGAGCTCTGATGATGCCACTGTACTCTAGTCCAGGCAACAGAGTGAAGCCCTATCTCAAAAAAAAGAAGAAAAAAAAACTTATGCTTTTAAACATTCCTTCCACGTTTATGAAACATAGTACCTGATTTAGAATTTTTATATCTCACTTCAAACCTCCTTAATGTTTTTGTTTTCAACCCACAACAGAGCCAGTTAAGAAAATCTATTTGATTTCCATCTTAGAAAACTTAATCTATAAGTAAGATAGTTGCATACCCTCAGTAATGCTCAGGTAAAAGCTTAACAACCAGCTCTCCAGGACCACATGAGGGCTAGAATGCAATATTATCTATCGAACGCCTTCAACATTTGATAGATATGTACATTTTGTTACATCAGAGGAAAGCCCTGACTTGTAGTGTTTGCTAATTTCTGTAGTGTGAATACTCATTCAATAGCTGATTTCAATCTAACAGTGTGACATCACTGAGCCAGGATTTGAGAAGAGATGTGTGATATTGTATCCTTAGATAGTATTTCCACCGTATAGATACAATACACATGAATAACTCAAGAGCATAGAGAGTAACATGTAGTGAAATAATGAGGAAATGGTGAGTTTTGAGTATTACATTTTTAATGTAATTTATTTAATTATAAATTTATATAACTTGATTTTTAATAACAGCTATGCTTAACAACCAGTAAAATTCCTAAAAATTTAACAGTCAGCTCTTGGGAGTCAGTACCAGCCTGCTCCTGCCACCACTATACATACTCCCCTTTTCCAAATAATTGAAATGATATTTATTAATCAAATGTTCACTGTTTAACTCTGGTACATAAAGTGGAAAAATCTGTAAATAAAGCACTGGAGAGAAAGCAATACCCCTTGAACAGTGGTATGATGTGTAAAACTAAATGGTAAGCCTATTAGGAATTTTAAAATCTACTTAGCACACCTATCATTCTATGGCTATACTGAAATAACATAAAAGATGATCAGTTTCCTTTTTAATATTGATCAAAATTATAAATATTGATCAAAATTCTAAACTGAAGAATTAATTTGGCTAGCTCATAAGTAGTAAATATGTAAATTAAAATGAAATTATTTAAAGCCTGCATAAAATATGACCACATGAGGGCTAGAGTGCAAAATTATCTATCAAATGCCTTCAAAATGTACCTTCTGTTAAAACATCTCTGAAAGGAAGATAGAAAAGCAACAAGCAACTTTGAAATGAATTATCAGGGAGAGCTCACATGACATCCTCCCAAGAAACAAGGTCAGGTCCCCATTACTGCAAAAAAGATCATTCAGTTTGGAGGTATGTGGGTCCACCTCTGGGCAGACATGCCACTAGCCACAAATGCCTGAGACTTGATGTCATGGAAAAACCAGGAGGTGATGGCGGGGTGAGAATCAGACAGATCTGGGTGGGATAATCCTGGCTTTTCTTCACACCAGTTGCTTGTTTGGGGGTAAATCACTTAAGTTCTTTGAACCTCAGTTTCCCGACAAATAAAAGGGAGAAAAGAATATCTTATTAAGAGCTGTAGAAAATAAGACATATACTGGGAGGCCAAGGTGGGAGGAATTCTTAAGGTCAGGGGTTTGAGACCAGCCTGAGCAAGAGCGAGACGCTGTCTCTACTAAAAATAGAAAAAATTAGCAGGGCAGGATGGCGCCATCTGTAGTCCCAGCTACTCAGGAGGCTCAGGCAGAAGCCCAGGAGTTGGAGGTTGCAGTGAGCTATGATGACACCACTGCACCTCTAACCCAGGTAACAAAGCAAGACTCTGGAGAGAGAGAGAAGGGAGGGAGGGAGGAGAAGGAAGGAAAGAGAAGGAAGGGAAGAGAAAGAGAGAGAGAGAAAGAAAAAGAGAGAGAGAGAGAAAGAAAGAAAGAAAGAAAGAAAGAAAGAAAGAAAGAAAGAAAGAAAGAAAGAAAGAAAGAAAGGAAAGAGAAAATAAGACACATAAAGTACTTCCCATGACAAGTGATGACTGGTGTTATTAAAAACACAGACAACCACAACCACCACCAAAAACCACCTACGGATGTATGAAGATGATTTTCCTTTATTCCTGACCACCCAGGCATCATTAACTACTTTGAAAATACCAAAGAAGGATTCTGGGCTGTTAGCTTAGCTCTTCTCCTGGTTTT